GATTTGGTAGACACAAATCTGTGTTGAGGTGTGGATATCTAGTCTAGTGACACTGAACTCCTTGAAGACACCCAATGCTCTCTTCTTCCTTAACATCTCCACCACTGAGACAGGTACAAACCAAGTGACGGTGAAAGATCCAGTCCTAATGCTGTTTAACATCATGGCACATGTCTGAAGGTCGTAGCTGCTTGCATATCGTCTCCTGAAGTTCTCCACGTCCTCCAGTGTTGCAGTCTCGGGCCAGTCAAACTTAACTACCATCTTCATGAAGCCATGTGGAGGATCTTCATCGAGTGGCCGAGGGTCAGCCTCACAGAACAGAACCAACGTCGTACGTTTTTTAAACTCTTCCAGATCCTTCTTGTAGGCGGTCATCTCGCTAGCAGTCCCGTTGAAATCCTCATGTTCCTTAGTCAGTTCTCCGATCAGGTGGTCGAGCAGATCAGGTGCGAGGTAGTTCCAGTAGAAGTTGAGGGATCCAAACAGCTCAAGATGGTCTTCGCACTGTCGTAGAGCCTTGTGATTCTCTTTCAAAAACAATCGATCCCCGTGTGTCCGAATGTTGGTGAGAATAAAGACAACCATTTGGACAGCAACACCGATCTTCTGTAGGCCTTGGATTGCAAGGTACTTTAGAGCGTTGAACCTCTTGTGAAGGCCTTTGATTTCATTTTCCACTGCATTAACTATAAGATGAGTTACACAGATAACTACAACACAAGGTACAGTTTACTCTCACTATTAGCAGGGTTCAGTTGAGGTGGTGGCTTTGATTTTACCTCGTCATCACCAGGAGTAGTGTTGGCTGCAGACTCTGTGGTGTCTGAAATGATAGAGATATTACCAGCTAAACAAGCAAGAGAACTATGAGTGGAGCTGATCGTAACATACCAGTAGTAGTCTCAGGTACCACATCACGTGTTGTAGTAGAGTCAGGGAAATGAGTTGCTTCCACCCTCGCAGCTAGTGCTGGTAGATTGACAGAAGGACTCTTGAGAGCTTCCACAATGACCCTCCATGTCGGTCTGGGCTGGATTTTCCTCGTGAAGGCAAGAAGAATGTGCAGCAGACGCACTTTGGAATCCTGGTATTGGCGGTGAATCGCCTCTACCTCGTGTGGCGGCAATAGCTTGACCCCGAGCACTTTGGAGTGGTTCTGCGCCTCCACAAGCTCGTCCAAAATGTCCGAGACGTCGTCTGATTTCAACGTCTCGTCGACCGCTGGGGCTGCGCAAGCAACTAACATTATACAGCATATTCACCCTCTGTGATTGCCCACCTTCCGTCATCTGTAAGAGCAGTAGTTTACCGTGGAGAGAAGAGCTGATCGTCTCTGTTGGTGTGTTTACCTTGTATCCGTGCAACGCCCCCTAGTCCCGCGGCACCACACCTACGAGGCGCCGTTTGATGGTGTGGGCGCGGCGAGCGGCGAGCTAGCTAGTAACCCTCGGTACGCATGCGCAACTGTTGCATAATCGCACCTGGCATACTGCGACGTGATCCGCTCGCTCTGTGTACCTTGGGGGCTCAGGAAGTCACAATGAATGGCATGTATCGACTCCTATTTACTACTGTAGCTAGCCAGTGTCAGACTCTCCGCGAGCTACTAGCGGGAGACCGCGAGTATTATACAGCGGTTTGCGCGAAACTTGCAAGATTGCGTCGTACGCCGACATTGCGCATGCGCATGGATATGTGCACGATTATGGTGATATCTGAAGATCATCTTGGAGATGACGAACATTTTCAATGTCGGTGGAGCAACAAGAGTTGGTGTACAGGTCTTACCAAAGCCTAATACTTATTTAACTGGCACTAGGTCTGCGGTCCAGGTACGATATCAGGGGCATTTCTTGTTTGTGCGCTTTTATTAGATGTCCTTTCACAACGCAGGATTCAGGCATTTGCTTATAAAGTGAAAATATGTGAGACATATGCATAATGTAAAGCATAAGTACAAGTCAGTGGCAGTGTTGTGATTGGCTTTAAGTGGCATGAGTTTCAAGAGTTAGTCCCAGAAGAAGGGGAATTTAGTATTCGATATATTGAAGGCAAGAGCCGCTCTTAAAATGGCTGGTACTCCTCAGGACTTAGAGGCTATGTATATTCATTATGATGGAAAGGAGTGTATATCATTGTGGTGTGATGGGAAGAATCAAGAAGAGCAAGGTGTAGTTAGACAGAAACATAAAGCTAAAAGTGAATCCCACAGTTCTAGACACATTGACAGGGAGGAAGAAGTTGATATTTTCCAGAAACTAAAGAAGGATAACTTTTCTGGCCCATCCAGACCATCCTCCACCACATATCGTCACTGTAAGCGGTACACTTGTTCTTGTATGAAGCCATGGCTCTGCAAATTCAAATTGTGCGCATGCGCAAATCTTTATTTGCAAGTTTCGCGCAAACCGCTGTAGCGAACAAATGGCCAGTCCATCAATTAGCAGTATCACGCATGCGCAGTTCGCCGAGGGTTTGCACTTTAGTGCTTTTCATTCACTGGAAGGTAATGCATAGGAAAGGGAATAAAAGATGCTAGACAGCCATGTCCATGTGTATCTTGGGGTGAGGATGGTAGTCATGGAGAATGATGTCATCGTAAACAAACTTGTCAATGTCGGAGACCTGTCTTCTCAGTTCCAGTCTCGGGAATGGTCTCGGGCTCCGCTGGATCTGGGTACAGGAATGGGGGAATGACACACTGCCCCTCTCATTACCATGGTCTTATTATTACCACAAAATTCAATCAGAGTCTGTTTAGCAAGTTTTGGTATGTTCATTATACAGTGCAACCCCTCTTACCCTGACACTGATAGGGAGAAGAAAGTAAGGTGTCCTATTTCAGGGGTTAAATAGCATGCAAGAACTGTTACTGTAAGTGTCTATATTTTCAGGGGTGTCCTTAGAGATGGAGGAATAAGGTTTACTGCAGCAGACAATGTGATAAGCCAATTATAACCCACAAACCTGTATATTGAGGGGTTGGATGTGGTTGAGGTAGACATGTGCGTCTCCTAGAGTATGTACAAAGTCTCCCGGCTGGAGAGGGAGTTAATTATGATGATGTCATAGGTTAATGAGGGGGGCGTGGCTAACCTTGAGGTTGCAGACGTGAGCTATCATGTATGTCAGTAGAGAGTAGCTGGCGATGTTGAATGGAACTCCAAGACCCTGGGTGGAGGAGGAGGTAATGAGAATAGTGGGTTGTGGGGAAACTTGAGGCATTATTCCACCTACTTTTGTGCAAAGGTGAGTGGTTTGCAACACATTCTTTTGACTTAAAACTACAGTAACTTTTCTCACAATGGGAGTACTACATTTCATACTACTGAGTGCAACTGTTGAACGTTGCAGTAAAATGTGACAAACATTCAGACCTTTCTTGCCACTACATACAGTTAGCAACTGCAGCAAATCCCCTGAAATAAGGGGACATCAAAAATTGTCAGAGGTACTTGAGGGCAATACAAGTATAAGCCAAGTATCCTCTAGTGAGAGGTGTCATTCATTATGAGGTGTATTTCCACTGTAATAACTGAGAGAAGAGAAGTGCTGGAGTACCATGTCTGCTGATCTCTGGTACAGTTGGCATGACAACTCTCCATTACAGACGTAGAACTGGACAAAGGCATGGCAGGGAGGCAGGGCCATCTCTGGTAGGTCTGTGGGGGGGGAGGGAGTGGGGGGGTGGAGTAAGATGAGAGAGGAGGAAGATGAGAGAGAGGGTGGAAGAAAGAAAGAATGAAATGAAATGCACTAAAGTGAAAACCCTCGGTGAACTGCACATGCGTGGTACGGCTAATTGATGGGCTGGGTTATTTGTGTGCTCCGAGAGTTAATAATGTGTAACAACAGTCAATAAAACAGAGATAATTTCCCAGTGTTCAGAGTGTCAGGTAGAGAGGAGAGAGAGAGATGTTACCAGGAGGGTTCCAGGCAGACATGATGATTCTCCTGTCATTTGGGTTAGTCCTGATGGTCTGGATCACCTGACCAACCAGACAACAGAATTAGGTATAATTACTTGTTCTTGCACAACAAACACGACTCATACTGAAATATAAAGATTTACTCCATTTTATAGCAAATACACAAATACACATTTGTAATTTAAGCATATGCAAAAAACACAAAATGTACTACTTTGCCATTCACATTGACTGAAGTGCAAACCCTCGGCGCACTGTGACGCACAATCGTAAGTAAACGCAAGCGCCGTAGCACTAATTGATGGGCTGGGTTTAGTTTTAGCTGTTACTTGTGGTCTCTTGCCAGCTCGCGCAGAGTCTGACGCGGGCTAACTACACTACTAGACAGCATGCGAGAGGCGATACACGCCCTGCCTTGCATCTTCTGGTGTCTCCGAGGTACGCAGAGCACGCGGATCGATCAGACCGTGGTAAGCCGTCCCGTCCGTTGCCTATTTGCATATTAGCTTTTTCGCGCTCTAGCTCTGCAACGGAGCAGTTTCAGAGAAAACCCGACATATTTTCTGACCTTCATTGCCCGTTCAGTAGATGGTATCGTTTGTGAGACGAACGAACACTCGAGAAGTGAGATGACGAGTAACAGACAGACAGACAGACAGAAACACAAACCCAACTACCGCATGCGCGCCGAGGGTTAATAACACACTGAACTGCGGTACCACTAATATGATGGACTGGGTGATTAGTATGTGCCTGAGGGCTCAAAAGCACACAGTGTATATACCTGAGCCAGTTGGTCCACCCCCTGACCACTGTAGTCAGTGTGCATGTCCACATACTTGGCTCCAAAATGTCTCCACTGAAACCCATACACTGGACCCAGATCCCCTGTACCACCAGTATGGAATAGAGACATCAATCTTACACATTACTCACATAACTTCATCAGGAAGCACTTACATTATTCATAATAATTCGATGATTATGGGGAAATTATGTACACTATCTGCAGGATATTTTGTGGGACAAGATGACTTCATACACTACATTTTTACCCTCAAAGTTGCCTTCACTATGGTACATTTCTTATGATGTAAGAATGATGTAATCATAAATGTCATGTGACCCACCCTCTTCTCGATGATGTAATCCCCTCTTGTCGAGGAAGTCACGTGACCCATTGGCATCCCAGATCTTGACCTTCTTCTGGGAGAGGTGTTTGGCGTTAGTATCGCCAGAGATGAACCACAGCAGCTCTTCGACCACGCCCCTCCAGAACACTCGCTTCGTAGTCAGCAACGGGAACTGGTCACGCAGGTTAAACCTGTTTGGGGAGAGGAGAGAGAAGAGGGAGGATTCTTTAAGACTTTTCACTAGGGATGGGAAGAAAGGTGGGAGGGACATAGTGGAAAAAGCTGAAAAGCTAACTTTTAGAGCAAGCATCCGTTGCTACATTACTTTTAGAGCAAGATAGTTTTCTCGTCCAAGTAACTGCTGCTACACATTACACACACAGATATATTGGGATATTCTAATAATAGTGACCTCATCTGTGCTCCAAATATGGACCTGGTCCCCACGCCAGTCCGGTCCCCCTTCTCCTGTCCGTGTTCCAGGATGGTCCTGATCAGATCCAGGTACTGGTCCTCGTCATGACGACGGGGTGCAAGGGGTCTGGGGACTGAGACAACTGTTGGCTCTGCTGTGAGAGGAGAGAGAGGTTTAGATATTTTTGTTGCAACTATTGGGATTCCAGTGTTCCTATAAACTAGAACTAATGGAAACATTATTACTGCGAGAACATACGAGAGTCACACACATGCAAGCGGCATACACTGATTGCAAATGTGTCCACGTTTATTCAGAATGACGCAGGCCATTACTGTGGCAACAGGGGCCAACCTTGGAGTCATACAGTGGACAACGAGGAGAGCACAACATCAGAAACAGACAGAAAATGTGTGCAATGGAGACGACTACTAGGCTGACCAGCTGTAGTCTCCATCTTGTCAGGAGGAGAGGAGACGACATTAGCCAGAGACGACACGTTTTCTCCCACCTCCATACTGTCTAGCAACCACCTGGCAACTGAGAGAGAGAAAAGGGAGGGAGATCAGAAAGGAAATAGAAACAACGCACACGCTGGGACTCGGCCTAACTTACCTCAAAAAAGAACGAGAGAGAGATAGCGATGATAAAGACAGCGGGAAAGAAGAGTCACGACCGAGACGCCAAAAAGTGAATTTGCCGAGAAATCCTTTTGTTTACATGTCGTTTTCCCGCCAGAAGTTCCCGCCAACTGCATGCAAACTGCGCGCTATTTAGAGAAACAACAGCGCGCATGCTCCAAGCCACGTTTTGAACTCTGAACCAATTCTCGTGTGTAGAGCTGGATGAAGATCATGACGACTGGTGGAGTTAGCGGCGAGGGAGAGGGAGGAAGGGATGGAGAGAGAGGAGGAGGGCACAGGAAGATGGCGAATGCTCTCTCTCACATCTTGTCTTCTACTGAGGCCGGGAGAGTAAGTTTTTTTTATGCACAGGTCACGTGAAACTTAGTAGCTACAATAGAATAGAAACCCCTTTGGAAGTGCCCTTATTTGGTGGTAACAATACACTAATGTATTAGTATGGGGTAGAAGTAAGGGTTACCAGATGCATCGACGCTTGACTACGAACGCAGACTCCAGAAGATAGCAACTACTGGTGGTGGGTGGAACCCTACTCGTTAGATGTAGTTGCACAATAGGGAAAAAAAAGAAAAATCGTGGCAGTGGGTCAATAATGTAGCCCATGTTGAGATGGTTGATATTTTGCCAACTGTAAAGCTACTTTAGAAACCTGTTATTCACAGCATTTCAAATATAGACTAACATAAAATTTTACACACACACATATATATATACCTTCACTGCACATGCATGCCACGCCTAAACCACTGTTTTATTTAGCTTCTTTTTCCCTACTTGCTTTCAATTGCATTATTAGACAAACAAACCTTTGCTAATTCTCATATTTCCCTCCCTCCCTCCCTATCCAGTGGTGCAGCTATTCAATGCAGTCAGCCAACACTCCAAACAGCTCCAGACACAAGTAAAGGTAGCCGGCCCCGGCACCTCTCAGAAGAAAAAGGCCAAAGGTCAGTTTTTGTTTCCCTAAAACACTAAACATGAATGATATTTTTGTGTGCAGTGTTCTCTATAATGTTTGTCTCTCTCACGGTGTATATATAACGTGTGTTTCTCTCACGGTGTATATATAATGTATGTCTCTCTCACGGTGTATATATAATGTTTGTCTCTCTCACGGTGTATATATAATGTTTGTCTCTCTCACGGTGTATATATAATGTGTGTCTCTCTCACGGTGTATATATAATGTGTGTCTCTCTCACGGTGTATATATAATGTTTGTCTCTCACGGTGTATATATAATGTGTGTCTCTCTCACGGTGTATATATAATGTGTGTCTCTCACGGTGTATATATAATGTGTGTCTCTCTCACGGTGTATATATAATATTTGTCTCTCTCACGGTGTATATATAATGTGTGTCTCTCACGGTGTATATATAATATTTGTGTCTCTCACGGTGTATATATAATGTGTGTCTCTCTCACGGTGTATATATAATGTGTGTCTCTCTCACGGTGTATATATAATGTTTGTCTCTCACGGTGTATATATAATGTTTGTCTCTCTCACGGTGTATATATAACGTGTGTCTCTCTCACGGTGTATATATAATGTTTGTCTCTCTCCCGGTGTATATATAATGCTGCAGTTCTGTCAACCATTGACAAGGGCAGTTTCCTAGACATGCTGAAAGGAAGAAAGTCTGAGGAGATGAAGTGGCCAGTTCTGAAGGAAGACTTCATGATGAAGGCAAAGATGAGGGACTGGGGGAAAGAAGAGGAGGTGGAGGGAGAGGGAGAGAAGGACAGCAGCTCTGAATCTGAAACTGACTAGTAATCTAGTTCTCCTTCCCTTGATTACGCTTAATTGGGATTTACGCATGCGCAATTAAACGTAATTAGCGGTGTTAGCCTTTTCCTGACTCATCTTCTGTGGAATTTAAGACAGCCTGGTAAAGATGTCGGCTACCAACAGCTCAGCTAGCGGAAGTACCGGTGGAGACGAGCTCGAATCCCTCGACTCTACCTCTCCCCTATCTCCGTCTTCCTCTCACCTTCCCGATGGCCGGTTCCATAGGAGACGACGTGCCGCCGCCTTTTCTTACTCCCGTGTCAGAGATGCACGACCGGCGGCGTGTTCCTCTCGCCTTCCCGACGGCTGGTACATCTTTGGTAAAGAGATGTCAGCTGATGATGTATGTTCATGCCTAATATGGGAATTATAAAGATTCTGAACACTTATTTTGTCTTACTAATAAAAACACTTGCCTCAGCCATTTCCTTCTATGGTATAATAAGCATTTTAACCCTTTCCTCACTCCTTTTAAGATCTGCCGTCAGGGGAGTTGTCTGATGACTATGATGATGAACTGCAGCAATTCAAGAAGTGAGTTATGGCCTCAAATTATAGCATGTATGTGGCTCTCTCACATATGAAGTAAGACTGCCCAATGAAAAAAGGATACCAAAAAAACTGAGACAGCTCTTACGTCTATGTAAAAAGTGGAAAAAGGATTTCTTCAAAATGAAGGGGATATAGGGATGGCTTGAAGCACCAAAAAGGAAGATGAGTTACCGCGAAGATCATCTGCACCAAAAAGGAAGAAACAAGGGGTCATTACACAGCAAATATACACAAAACTACATGACACCATCCCTATATCTTTTTTCTGATACCTTGCCTATGAATAAATGGAAAAAAGATTGTTTTCATGTAGTTTTGTCTCACACCTATATAGTATACATGTTGCCCACTAGTTAATGGTGTTACATTTCTTCACGACATAATTTTGATGGCTTCGTACGTACACTTATTATCAGTGATTTGAGCAGTCAGATTTGGTTTGCTAGTGGCACGTTTATTGTGTGCATCCGACTGTGTGAAGTGAAGGCAAACAAATCAACTGCACATGGGACAACCAGCGAAAAGAGCTGTCCTGGTATGTAGGGCAACTCAGCAGGTGTAGTTGTTCAAATCTTCAACAAATGGGCAACTCATCACTATAGTAACTTTTCAAAGAATGGAGTACAACTTTACCGACTATGGCAAATATGGGACAAAAAGATTCTAAACCTCTGAATAAGGAGACATCAGGTGCTTGATTGAAAAATTAGTGAACACTTATTTTGTGTCTTGCAGGCCATTTCCTTATATGGTGTAGTAAGCATTTTAAAACCCTTTCCTCACTCCGTTTAAGATCTGCCGTCAGAGGAGTTGTCTGATGACTATGATGATGAACTGGAGCAATTCAAAAAGTGAGTTATGGCCTCAAATTATAGTATATATTGTGTGAGGATCTCTGACATGTGAAGTAAGACTGCCCAATGAAAAGTGCGGTGCCAAAAATGGTTCATTTCGTCCGTAATATGAGAAAACTGAGAACAGAACATCTATTAGAGTGAAAAGTAAAAACCTTCAACCAACACCTATGGCTGTTTGCACCAAAAAGGAAGAAACAAGGGGTCATTACACAGCAAATATACACAAAACTACATGACACTTTCGGCACATACCTTGCCTATGAATAAATGGAACAAAGATATAGGGATGGTTTCATGTAGTTTTGTGTCCTTGTTCCTTTTTGGTGCTCCAAGCCATCCCTGTATCCCCTTTCATTTTTGAAGAAATTATTTTTCTACTTGTTATGATGTCACTCTGCATGGAAAAGTGAAAGCACTAGATGCTAGATATGGGCCTGTAGATTATTGGTAGTGATTTATAAAAGCCTAGGGAGTCATTTTCGCCGAGTTTTGAGGTGTTTTGCATGCGGATCACATGAGATTTGACCCTTGCCATCCCTATATTGGAGCGTCTACCGACGTCACCCTTGAAATTACTCTTTGAAGTGAAGTTTACTCTTTTACTTTTTGAAGGATGAGTTTACCCTTGTAAACTTTGATTGGTGAAGTTTTTTAAGGGTAAAGTTTAGCCTTTTTGAAGGGCGAAGTTTACCCTTGCAATTCATGAGAGCAACGAAAACTGAGAACAGAACATCTATTAGAGCGAAAAGTAAATACCTTCAACCAACACCTATGGCTGTTTCCACATATGTTTAGTATCACTGTATGTAGCTAGAAACATTATGGTACATATGTACAGTGTCTGTTAATACACATGCAAAATTAATATCATTGTAAGCCATTTTTTTCCAGACAGGATCTGTTTTGCAGCACCTGCTGTGAACCGCAAGAGAATTGCTGTCTCACTTGACATGAACGATCTCATGGCCAAAATGAAATTGACATTACATCATCATTACATCATTCTTGTACAAAAAAACAGTGACACACACAATGTCTCTAACTGTTTTGAGAGTTGAAATGTTGTGTATTATGAGATAATGGACACAAAAAGTGCATGAAACTATACAACAACACATTCTTTAACTATATCTCCATCCACTATGATGATCTTGTCAGGTGATGTACTGGCTACTAAACACATGCTCCTACCAATAGTCATAGAGCCAATCTCCACCCACTGTCCATCCAGTAGCTGGTGAATGGAGTTGACTGGTGACACACCTCGACTGCCACCAATGACTACTAGCTGTCCACAGAGAGTGGCAGCTGTTGAGTTTCTCACTGGTAGAGGAGGCAGAGGTTTCCAGGATAGGGTGAGAGGTGATGTGATTGGTTGATCACTGGATGGTAGGGCTGCAAGAGAACACGAGTAGCGATTAGCATCACGTCCTATCACATTCAACTGATCGCCACATATTGTGGCTGAAGGGTAGCGGAGAGGTTGTGGTAAGTCTGTTAGTTGGTACCATCTTCTGCTCTTCACTTGAAATAGTTCGACTGTAGCAGTCCAACCACACCACCAACACCCCCAATCACAATGAGGTATTCACCATCAGATGTACTAACTACAGCAGTGTGGGAATGTGCAGTGTTCATTGGAGGGTATTTCTCAACCCATTTCCTCTGTCGTAGTGTGTATAGCTTGTTAGTACAACCAGATCCACCCCCTCCCCCTACAGCAGTTAGTTCCCTGTCAGTTATGACTAGTCCAGAGTTCTGATATGGACATGAAGGAAGTTCCTCCCATTTCTCTGTACTACATTCATATTGGTAGACTGAGTTGGAGTAATGTGGGGTGAAGTATGCAAATCGACCATCAGTTGTTGCAGATCCTCTCTCCATTCTACATGGTGCTGGCTTCTTACGATGACACTGCACAGTGAGCTGAGGGGAGATCACATGACATGTAATGACATCATAATCATCAAATCTGGACCTCAGAATGTAACACTATGGCTGCATACATGTGTACAGTTTGCACATGTGTCATGCAAATTGATTGGGCATAAATAATAATCAGCGATTACAGGCTAGGCAGCTAGTTAACAGGCTCATAATTCACACCCTCCATACATTCTCTATGGGAGAGAAAACAAGTGCGCGACTTCTCTCTGTCTCTTTTTTGTGGCACGAGGAATAACCAAAAAATTACATGGATAAGGCGAGTAATTAATATTTTCGCGCATGATTTGTGGGTATTTGTGTGTGTGTAACATTATACAAGTATTCAAAATGAAAGGGGGATATAGGGATGGTTTGAAGCACCAAAAAGGAAGAAACAAGGGGTCACACAGCAAAGATGCACAAAGCTACATGACACCATCCCTATATCTTTGTCTCATATTAAACTTTACTTCAAGGTAAACTGTTGCAGAATGGATATGACGGAGACGGCAAGCGCGGCTCTTTCCCAATTAGGGAGGAAAATGTCAGCAGGGCGAGATTGGTTGTAAACAATAACACAAAGATATAGGGATGGTGTCATGCACTACTGTAGTTAGTAATGGCATACTAGGCATGAAGATAACGAGGAAAGAAAAAGAACAGCTCCATTACTATACAAGGAAACGTGCAAACACAAACATCCAGGAAAATCCTCACAATACTCAACACAAAATGGTAGATAGCAGTTAGAGTAAAGCTGCCAACCTGTACAGGCAACCGTCAGTAAAAACCTGACCGTATCAAGTCAATCATCTTCCATACAATCTTAGTGTGTATGCGCGCATCGATGCAGAACTCTAGTACGAGCCACGAGCAAAGATTTATGTCTCTAGGCTGCTGTTTTTAGGAATAACAAAAAATTACGTGGATAAGGCGAGTTATTCAAATTTTCGCGCATGATTTGCGCGTATTTGTGGTGTGGGTCTACAAACACAACTACAAACAGATCTGCCTATCATATATAGCTCATACATCTATGGTGCTAGGTATATACCATGCCTATCCCTATGCACTACTGTACTTAGTAATGGCATACTAGGCATGAAGATAATGTGAGAAGAAAAAGAACAGCTCCATTACTATACAAGGAAACATCCAAACACTAAACATCCTGAGGTCCAGGTTTGATGAAAATCCTCACAATACTCAACACAAAATGGTAGATAGCAGTTACAGTAAAGCTGCCAACCTGTACAGGCAACCGTCAGTAAAAACCTGACTGTATCAAGTCAATCATCTTCCATACAATCTTAGTGTGTATGCACGCATCGATGCAGAACTCGGTCTGGTACGGGCCACGAGCAAAGATTTATGTCTCTAGGCTGCTAGGTAGGAGGTAGAACTATCTCTCTGTGTTTTCACGCCATCGTGGTGCTATTTTCAGAGCTGAAATATCCGTAGAAAGCTGCAAAGAAGTGATGATTCACCAAACTCGCGGCTCTCAGTAAAAATCGGTTCCGTTCAGTACTACCGTTTAGTGTACTCGGTCACAAAATATCAAAGGAAAAGGAGTGCCATAGCTGCATTATTATCCCTCCAGTTGTGCACAATACAGTTTCCTAATATGACTCATAGTCTGTTTGAATGCAAATGCAGAGAGTGACTGGAAATGTGAAATGTACAATTACTGAAAGTTCCTGAGAAGCTTTGAGGGGCGTGTTAGGCTGCAAAAGCTTTTGCAGTCTAACAGGGGTGAGATGCTGTAATTCGTAAAAATATGGAAGAATTCGTATTGTTGGAAGTTAAAGAGAATGTGGCAGTATGTAAGGGTTAAATTTAGAAAGGTTACTAAAGACATACCTTTCTTGGTTGTACAGCTGTTGCTAGGGGAGCAGGCTGGGTCTGACAAAAGAGGGTGGAAACACAGAGCAATATTCACGGATATGATTCATAGCCAATGATTAATGGATATGCACTGGTATTCATTCTCTCCCATAGTGTATGTATGTGCACCGGTATCCCATAGTGTATAGTGTATGAATACGCCATACAACTGGGCACTAACACAATCAGTAAATTTCTAGGCATTTCTAAAGGCCTCACGATACTCTACCACAACAGTTATCATTGTTAATGTTGCCTACCTTTCGTGGTTTAACTACAGGTGGTATGGCATGGGGTACAGCTGTTGCTAGGCGAGCAGGCTGGGTCTAACAAAAGAGGGTGGAAACACAGAGCAATATTCACGGATATGATTCATAGCCAATGAATAAAGGATTGTTTACCGTTGTTCCTGAGTCACTCCGCTGGAGGGACTTCTGGAAGTCAGCCACTAGAGCCTCACTTGATCGCAGCTGTTCCTCCTGCAGTCAGGAGGACCTCTAGTCACAAAACATGACACATCCTGCAGTTATCACTATTCACCTTCTGTCTCAGTTGCTGCTGAGTCTCAGCTAACTCTCTCTCCTTCCTTGTTAGCTCATCTCTCACTGTCGCCTTCTCTCTTAGCTCCCTGTCCTTGGCCTGCACTAACTCAGTCTCCTGCAGTCAGGAGGACCTCGTTACAATGCATTAGTTC